TTTTAATCCCTTCCATTATGATTTTTCCCAGTGGTATTAAAATGGAATAAAAATTTCAATTTTAAGCAAAAAAATACGTTGTATTTGAAAAAGCTTAAGCTGCCTATCATGATGGTAACGCATATTAATATATATGCTTAATTCTTTTAGGAATAGTGGTGATGAAAATCCTTTAAAAATTTAGTTTATAAAAGAAAAAATAGTATATATTTACTACCACTTTAAATATGAAAATAAAATTTCACGCCAAATGCGTAAAAGTTGGCAGGTATGTTAATAATATTCAATCATGCATAATCATCAATTGCTACGTAATTTCCTTAGTAACCACACAGCTGCCGTTTTTATGCTTTCTATTTAAGAATCTTTGTAGAAGTAGTAATACAGTAGGGAACCGATTATCCGGAACAATCGGGACCATCGCTATTCCGGATAACTGATTTTTCCGGTTTTCTGAATCGCTACAAAAAGCCGTTTTTTTATTGTCAAACCCAACTAAAAAAAAATTCTTTTTTGGAAATAATCTTAAAAAGAAAAAACGATAGAGTAATACACTAATGATTATTTCCAAAATGATGGTAAGGTAAACATCTTTCAAAAAAGAACAAAAAATCCTAAAATCTTACGAGGAAAAAAAATTTTTTTTTTCTAAAAATGGTGGGAAAATTTATCGAATTTCGTTCCGGTTTTTTGATTTCCGGACAACGGGTTCTGTACTGCATATATATTTTATTTCCTATATTTTTCAAAAAAAAAAAAAAGGATATCAAATTATCTTATTCAACAATTATTTTTAAATAAATAGAAGCAAAGTGATAGCCAAATAAAAAAACAAATGTGGTTTATAAACAATTCCTACAACAAACTTTTGACAGAATGTCCACTCTTACATATTTCAACTCAAGGTTCAAACATTCCTTAAAAACTAGGGTTCTCCTAACGTTATATTTGCTGTGATGTGGATCAAAGTTTAATAAATAGATATTTAAATTAAATATTTAGTAAATTTATGGGCCTGTAAACTCGTAATACTTACCGAAATTGTGTATTTTGTGCCATTCTACAAGATAAGGCTTATCTCAGCAGGTTTTTAAAAAAACTAATAAACCTGTTCTCAAAACACAAATCAGGGTCAATACAATAAAATGTGATGAAAGTATTCTAATAATAAGAACTGAGTAATGTGAGAATGGCACAAACCTCAAAATTAAATTTTTATTTTGCAAAATTTTTTAGAAATAAAATGTAGCAATAAAATTTTATTTGTAACAGCACTTTACTTCAAGCTTAACCCAACTTCATATACATATTAACAGCTTATTATTAAAAAAAAATCTCTCAAATATTGCCCTAATGTTAGTTATCATGAAATTTTGCCTTTAATATTAGACCTCAGCAGTAAATTCGTTGAAAAAGGTAGTGAAAATTTCAAGTCTCCCAAAAAAAAAAAAATCCCAGAAAGCTTCTATGATCAATAAAATAATAACAAGTGAAGTTCAATTAAGGGAAAGAGCCTCAACTAGCCTTGGAGACATGGGTTTACTTTTTACCTGTAAGCAAAGGCAGTATTTCTAGCAAGACAAATTTTACCCTAAAGGGAACGGTGCACAAGGTGAAACATTCTTCAGAATTTGCTAATTTGTCTGATCACCCAAATGATTAACGAAAAATCAAATAACATATTCATGCTAACTAACAAAGAAAGAAAATAACATAAAATATCCTTGACTAAAACACGAGCAAATTAAAGTAAGAATATACAATTTTATAAGAATTAGGGAGGTTCATAGGGTAAAAGAAAACTGCAAGGGAAAAACAATAACCCTCAACAGTTTTAAACTTTAGCATATATGTCTTAATGATACGTACTTTCGAAGAGGTTTTGCACCAGATGATTGCACAGGAAGAAGACAGAAAGGTATTTTATTGAACCTAGGCATATTTTTCTGCAAAAGTAATAAAGTTATTACCTTCTAACACAGCACAAATTAACAATACAAAAGCAAGAATTAACAAAAGCATGGAAGAAAGTGTATATAAGTAAAATTTTTCACTAATACAAAACATCACTACTAAATTCTCAGATCATAAACATCATGCTAAACTAATTTGTAATTAAAAATTTTCTTTTTAAATGTTTAAAATAGTAATGAATGGATGACTTTCGAGAAGCATACATTGTAATACACAAATTAAGAATTTATTTATAAAATTACAAGGCTAAATAGTTAAATGACATTTATGCCTTTTACCAAAAGAACAATGAATGGTTATAGAGGTTACTAGAGAGAGATTGATCAATGCTAAGGGGTAATGATAGTATAAGGTCATCGAAGAGCTTTTAAATCTGAATATAGCTTGAAATGTGTGCTTATGAAAACAGACATAGCTTTAAATGAATTTATGAAAATGAAAAATGCTCAAAATGAATATTTAAGAGAATGGATACAGCTCGAAATGCATGTTTTCAAAAATGGATATAGCTCAAAATGCATATTTATAAAAAATGACTGAGCTTGAAAATTACAAAAAAATTACTTTCTTCTGCAGCAGGTGTGATGAAAAAAAAGTAAAAGAAAAATATGCAAGTCATTTTCGGAAACAATTGAGTGGGGTGAGATGCTTAAATAATCTATTTTTAAGGTCAAGTTCATCCCCACTTTCAGCTGAAATTCAACTTTATTATTTTTACCGTAGTTACTTATTATTTACTTATAGATTCTGATATTATTTCTTATATATTTTTGGGACTCGGAAATATACGATTTCGAAATTTAGAGATGCTAGAGCAAAAATGATGCAACATTATGAGCACATAGATAAAAGAGGGATGCGTGAACTGCATTATTTATTCTATTCTTAACGTTTATTTTAAAATTTTTTAGCTGCTTAATCATTTGATATATTTATTGCTGGGATATTAAAAATTTATCAATAATTTTATGCCTTAATTTTGTGCAAAACGAGATTATATGTTTATTGTAATTATAAAAGAAATAATGCAATCATGACCATTTTATGCTTTAATTTTTGCATAAAGAGATTTCTTTATTTTTTTAAATATATCTTTTAAAAATTATTTGAAAGGTTTTTAGCTGTTATCATTATATAGGTAAAAATTTAAAACTAGTTAAAAGCAACAGGATGCCTTGGTGATTATTTTGTGTTGTAGGATTTTGTGCAAAACAAGATTTATTTTTATTTCATTTAATTATTTTTAATACTTCATTGAATTATAGTAAAGATTTTTACTTGTTTAGGCATATTTAGGCGAGCATTTGATTGAATAGTATTCAGGTATTTCAAATCAAATTATGATAAAGTGACGGGATCACAATTGTTAAATATGGTACAATTTTGCACCTAGTAAGATTTTTTTCATAAATTTATTGTATTTTGATAACTTAATTTTTATTACATTTAGGCTCTTAATTATTTGGTTTACATAAAATTCTAGTATTTTAAATTGGTATTTATTAACGTGAAGCATTTGTGATTGTGTTGCATTTGAATTGTGCACAATTGAACATGGCATGTACATTTGAAATTTTGTGTACATTTGAAAAGTTATCTAATATTGTCCATAATATAATTAAAAATATTGCCAGTACTAATTACTTAGCATATTTAAGGTTCCCTCTGTGAACCATTAAGTTTGAGCCTTAGTGCATGGAAAATCTGATCATTAAATCAAAAGTTATTCAAGATGTTCCATAATATGAAGAAATTACTTTTGTGCAGAGAATCTTCTGTATCCACTTCCTCAAATGACCTAGGAAAATGGACTAAAGTGAAAAATGAAATTTTTCTTTATTTTTACTCAATCCACATATTTTATCAATGTAAATTAATAAACATATTATTCACTGCGTAATAAATTAAATTTACTAACGAAAACTAACTATTAGTTAAAAAAAAATTTCTTTTAAGTTATTATTATATTATTTAAAATATTTTAGTGTTCAACTGAAATATTTTAAATGAAAAGTAAAACTAAGAGTATGAATTTTAAAACCCCTTAGAATGATTTTCTGTGTCCACCACTGCTTCTTCTGAAAAAGTAAGAAGTGGCTGGTCTGCATGTATTTTGTATTTAGGTTACTTGTAATTACAGTTACAGTTGTAATCAAAATTCTGATAAGTTGTAATCATGATGACAAGTAATTCAATAATATAATCAATTAATGCAATCTATTACATTCTTGATCACTTCTGTTTCAAGTTAGTACCCCTAATCATGAAGACTATATCATAGTCTGTTAAAATCTGATTATTATATCAAAAGTTATTACGGCCTTCTGTACTGTATAATAAACTGCCTACTGTGTAAAAAATAAAAAATTTTATAAGTAATTTAACAATTATGTTCAATAGTAGTGAAATATTTTAAAGTTTCAGCAAACTTGTAGAGACAATTTATGGGTATTAAAGCTTAAAATTTTAAAACCTCACCCACAAATTTTCCTGGCTGCATTAAGGGTTTTGTTATGGCGTTAAAATTTTGGGCTCATTGCTTAACACTGTAAAGGCACATTTCAAGCTATGTCCATTTTCAAAAACACTCATTTTCAGCTATGTCCATTTTCCTAAACATGCATTTCCAGCAGCATCCATATTGGAAACATACATTTTGAGCTGTGTCTATTTTTGCAAACATGCATTTTAAGCTATCTCCACATTTGGAAACGTACATTTTGAACCATGTCTAGATTTAAAAGCTCACAGACAAGGTATGAAAGGATAGCTGCATACGTACCAACATTGGAGAATTAAAATAACATAGATTTTTCTATCAATATTTTTTGGGCTATGAGTAAGGCTTTAATACATCATGCATAATCATGTAAGTCGAAATTGGAAATAATAAAAGCACTTACATTTAGTGAAATAAAAAATATGTATACAAATCTTAATCAAAAAAAGATTTATTTAAACCATTATTTATAATTACTTAAACTATAAACACTCAACATACTGCAGTACTGGCAATAGCACCATCTGTTGAGAAATAAGAGAAGTATTTTGCCAATAGCGGATATTTTATAGCCAAAAATTTTCTTTTAAATTTCTTCATCAAATGCAGAGAAATTTGAGAATAAACAGGTTAACAGGAGATAGCCTTAAAATACAGGAGTTTTTGCTAAAAAACAGAAGACTTCGCAGGTACGTAGATACTCTTTGTGAATTTTATATAAATTAAAACATGCATAACAAAAGTTTCTTTTGTGGCACATATATTTAAAACAGTTTTGAATTAATTACAGATTCATGTTGGGGTTTAGTCAAGTACAAGCTAATTCAATCAACCATGTGAAGGAACTAATTCCAAAATTATTTTTACATATTTCTTGCAGTAACACTCAGAATCATAAAGCAGATGGACTACAAAATTCTTAATGAAAATGTTTTGCAAATGAGGCAACTAATTATCTGCACAACCGCCCTATGATTCAAATAAAAGTATTTAAGGTTACAAGCTGTTTTTATTATGGATTTATAAAAAGCATTTTCATGTTACCTCGAACATAAAATTGCTGGAAGAATTTATATAAAATTCTTTTTCAATGTAGCTTTTGTTTCTTTAGCGCTTAATTTTTTTTTTATCCTTCTGTGCAAAGGAAAGACATAGTGACTGTCATTTGTATGCATACATAAAAGAATATATATATTGAACAAAATTACATATATTGAACAAAATTACATCTTCCTTTCTTTTGCACTTGGAGAATCACATAAGTAACGAAATGGAAACTTTAAAATTAGTGGAGCACTAAGAAATTTTTTTGGAACATAAATTATTGAATCAACAGTCTTGAGATTGGCAGAATTCTACAAATTAGAGGAAGAATCACATGCCAGAACTTTTCAAGTATTACACATTAGAATGAATGTTATATTACACTTAAGATAGACAATGAAATNTCCCTAACACTTTATCAAAAAGGTTCCAGGAAATGCCTCTTTTACTAGCCAGCTGCACAGGAAAGAAGGGGGGAGGGGACTCAATTGTGCTGTTTTGAAAACAAATCTCCCCCCCCTTTCCTGCATTCCAGAGGAGGAGCGTTACTAACGGTACGGTCTTGGTAGATCTTCTGTTCTCTTTTCTGTTGATTTATGGGTTTAATGCATAAATCACTAGAAGCTAAGAAAGGAAAAAACCTGTCAAAAAAAATTTTTTTTAATTTTTTTTTTTTAAAGAGAGTGGGGAAGATGAAGAAATGTTTGTTTATTTTGATTGTTAAAAAGTGTCCGGGAAATTGACCCTTCCGGAAAAGGGACGTCCGGATATGGGACGTTACACTGTATATATATTGAACAAAATTACATATATTGAACAAAATTACATCTTCCTTTTTTTTGCACTTGGAGAATCACATAAGTAACGAAATGGAAACTTTAAAATTAGTGGAACACTAAGAAATTTTTTTGGAACATAAATTATTGAATCAACAGTCTTGAGATTGGCAGAATTCTACAAATTAGAGGAAGAATCACATGCCAGAACTTTTCAAGTATTACACATTAGAATGAATGTTATATTACACTTAAGATAGACAATGAAATCCCTGTTCCTTCATCTGAAGTCATGGGTGCAAGTTGGAAAAAAGGCCAAGACTGAAAATTTTTTGACTGAAATACCTAACATACACAATACCCCCTCGACATATGAAAGCTATCTAAGAAAGCTTTACCATAATACATCAAGTTTAAATACTGTACAAAAAATATTTATTCATCTGTCTTTTGATAAAATAACAACAGGACATAAGAAAGTAGACCAATAACGTAGACCTAAAAAGATTTTTAAGGACAGAAATTTTTTTTCTCCGATTTCCGTCCTCGAGTCAGTCTTGTTTCCGTCTTACTCCCGCCCGCGGACATTTTCGAAAGACGGAAATCCGTCCTGGGGACTGAAGACTTGCACACATGTCTAAAGTACACTGAAATATTTGAAATTATTTTTCCCACTTTTATTATTTTCACAATATTATAAGGCTACAATTACATACATCAACATGTTAAAAATAAACCCATTAATGTGTGTAAATAAATGAATTGTTTAAATATGATTGGCTAGAATTATTTTTCTCTTGAGTATTAACTTTTATCATATTTTTTTTAAAAATGATAAAACTCAAGCAGATTTTGTTTCTTTTCTCAAATTTAGTCAAGACTGTAGCATTTTTATTACAGTAATTTGATTCTGATAGAACAGAATTTTGAATTCGACATTTTCTTGGATAGTAATAAATAAAGAGTACTGGCTCCATATTTTATCTGTGAGAGGAATTAAATGGTAATGAAAATGTGTGTAGTAGAAAGTTATAATTTGAGCAATATTGGTAAGCATGCTTACAGAGAACTTTTTTTTTAAACATATTAAAATATTTTCAAATGAATAAAAGTTTTCCCTTACAGATACTACTACATCTGTAACCCATGAGGGAATGGTTTCATGTAATAATAATTCTTCAGTTTCTCGCCCAGCATCACCAACAAGAAGTCGTAATAAAGTCCGTCCACCAACTTCACTAAAAAAGAAATAAAATCAGGTGGAACCAAAAACTTTTATTTAACATAAAAATGTTCAACAATATTGACATAAAAATTATATTTATTAAAACACATAAAAGTTTGTCTGAATTATAATAGCTTCAAATATCAAGACATTAATAAAGCAGTACTAAAAAATATGCACTTCTATTCTATGAATTTCCACATGGTTTTTAAAATCTTGGAATTTTAATATGTTAGTCTGACTCAGCAATTATAAGAACATGATATTGAATTATCTTGCTTTTTATATGCTCAATTTGTGACAGTAAGTAGCAAATTCATTTTGCCATTTTCTTTTTTTAATAGAATACTATTAGAACACAAGAATTTTGAATCACATAATTGAGTAATCACTATTTGACGATAAATTTGTGCAGTTTTTGGATTATTTATGCAACAATTATTGTTATGGATTTCCATTTTGTTCTTAAAATCCTGATATTTATAACGCATAACTAAGGCTTATGAATTTTGAATCGCGCATTTAAGTAATTTCTTTTCATGCAGGCAGCACTAAATAAACTCACGACAATTTCATGTCTTGTTGATAATTTTTCAACAGTAATTGTTTCAATCTTTTTTGAATCCCAATTTTTTTAATAGTACAGTAGTACAATCACATTGAGTAAAAATATTCGATTAGGATGATTTCATTGAAAACTCCTGAGGTTTTGTCGCCGCTTTTTAAACAGTTATGGATTTCCAGAAATTCAAAGTCAAACAGATTTTTTTAATTCGATGTGATTAAATCATGCTAATTTCTGCATCATCAAAATTAATCTTTAACTAATTTTACCAATTACAAAAAAACGCCACATTACAACAAAATGCCAAAAAACACAAACATCACACACATGCCTTGAAGAAAAATCTGGATTTTGGAGGTTTCCTGATTTTAGAAGTCTGCATTTTTAAGCTATACTGTATTATTTACAAAATAAATTCTCATCAAGGTTTGTAGTTAAATTTTTTAACAAAAAATAAAAACCTTTAAGCACTAAAAATATTTACATCTTCACTTAAAAAAAAAAAATCATATTTAAGCTATACACATTAATAAAGATTTTTCATTCACTATTGCTGAAATTTCTTGATACATATACATAAAACACAAAATTAACTAATAGCAAAAACATTTTCAGAGAGTTTACATAATCATGATAAAAATATCTTGTTCTGGGTAAAGAACTTTGATTCTTTAGAATTTTTAACTGATTCTTTAGAATTTTTAGGAAATGATGCAGTAAAATGATTTTTTTACTATTGGTAATATACTCCTATAAATAAGGAACAATGATTTAATTACAAATATTAAACATATTTATTTAGTATAAGGCTTTCATGGCCTAGTTTTAAATAACAGTGCATTTTCTTTTTTAGGTGGCAGAGAGAAGATAGATTTAGCAATACTAAAGTGTGTACATGCTTAGTTACTTCTAAACATACATACTTGAGCATTAGAGTATAAAATGAGGCTGCTGAAATCTTTTTAATAATGTAGTTAAAATTTTTTTTTTTAATTCATGAAGGAACAAGAAAAACTAATAATCACCCATATATGATATGTTATAAAGGTGCTACCATTCATAAAAGGGTAAGAGCTATTTCTTCAAACAAATAAGGAAAAGGCTGTTTGTTTGCCATAACCTTAATGATTAAATATGTTAAAACACACACACACACAAAATCATGCAGAGAAGTTTGAATTTAGAAAAGCTATGATGTCAATATAATATTTAGCTTGCTTATTTGACTAATAACATAATCATCTTTTAGATAAACTAGTTATAGGTTACACATATTAGGTACTCAAAAAAAAAATTATCTGACAACTTTCTTAATTTTTGCAAAAATTCAAAATAATTTCAAAACAAACTATAAAAAAAATTTAATCCATGAAATTAACTACCTAAATATAACAGGTGTGTGTTCAGGAATGCTGAAATATGGATTTCCAGGTCTGCCTCGTTCTGCATGAGGACTCGTACTGCCCCCGTTGACTCCATCTAAAATTTTAATTATGTTACACATTTCTCCAAACTAAAAATAATTCCATTTCATAATTTAGATTAATAAAAAAAAGAAAGTTTTTTAAATAGAAATAAATAATATTAAAAAAAAAAACAGAAAAAAAAAACGTACTACTATCTATATTGATATCAGAAATAATATTAAACAATGGAAATACTATCTAATAAAATCTTTAACAAAAATGCATACTAATTTTAACACTTGCACCGATAAAAATGAGCATATTAAAGATGAAACAATAGTGTTAGATTGACTTGTTCACAGACTCTCAAAATTAAAAAAAAATTCAATTAAGCACTATTTCACTGAAAAAATGAAAGGTTGTCATTTATTGCCCATACATAAAATATTATGAACAGTAATACATTAACTTGTTACATTAATATTACATTGAAATGTTATAGTATACTTTTACAAAGCATAATAAAACACACCGAAAGACTTAAATGGAAATGATATAACACAATTGCTGTAATAAATTTTTTAAAGTGTATCACTTAAAAATATCCCATTAAAGAGCTGCTTAAAAAAATAAAAATTCAACTTAAGTGTCTTAAAAAGTATAATCAATCAAAATAAAGCTGCAGCTGCTGATGATATACTTTGTATGTTAAAAAATTTAAATAATTTTCTAACAACATTAAAAAAGCATTAATTAAAACAACTATAAAAAAAATGTTTCAATTTTTTATCTTTTAAACAAAAATAAAACAAGAATGAATAAAAAGGCACAGTAATTTCAGATAAATGAGCCACAGCCTATTTGCACTCAAAAGTTAAATTATCGCAATGTGTGGCACATGTGCAGGTGCCGCTCATATAGTGACTTTTTTTCCTTGAGCCTTGACTAAAAATTCAGAAATAGCTCAGAGTATTTACAGTGTAACGTCCCATATCCGGACGTCCCTTTCCCGGAAGAGTCGATTTCCCGGACACTTTTTAACAATCAAAATAAACAAACATCTCTCCATCTTCCCCTTTCCTAAAAAAAAAAAAAAAAGATGTTTTAACAAATTTTCTCTTTCTCTAACTTGCACAGAACCTCTGATTTATGCATCGAACCCATAAATCACCAGAAAGGGGAAGTGAAGATCTACCAAGACCATTGAGTGACGCTCCTCCCTTGGAATGTAGGAAAAAGAGGGAGATTTGTTTTCAAAAGACCGCAACTGAGTCCCCTCCCCCCCTCCTTTCCCATGCAGGTGGCTAGTAAAAGAGGCATTTCCTGGAACCTTTTTATTGAAAGAAGAAATACTGTGGAAAAGGGTAAACAGGGCAAGCGTTAAGGTGGAGGGGGAGTCAGAATGGAAAATTTGAATAGGTCTAAAAGGATACACGTCCTTGAAAAACAAAAAATTCGTTCTTCCCCATACCATGTAATATTTAGGAGGCGGGGGGAAAAAGGTGGTAATACAGATAAAAGGGGTCTTTAGCAGATTCTTTCAGTCATAAAAGAAAAAATAAAGAGAACCCGATCTGCGTGTCCCGCCTTTATGCTTGATTGATAGCCAATGATTGGAGAAAAAACAATAATTTGTTACTTCCCCACCCTCAACTTAAATGATCTCCTCTTTACACTTATTTTCTTTCACAAATAATGAGGAAATGAATTTTTCTCCTCTATCTACCCATCTTGATGAATGACGGGAATTTCCCTTTCTTGCTTGAATCATTCTAGTTAAAAATGGCGGATTATTATTTTCATATGTCAATTTTTTTTAGTTTTCTATATTTTAAGCAATAATATTTTTTTTCTAATATTTCATATTTTATTGATTAGATATTCTAATACTAAAACATTATTCCCCTTAAAAATAATGTTTATTTATTTTTTGCTTCTTAGATTTAGATCATTTTACGCTTTGTTCCAGAATTTCCCCTTCCTGCTTGAATCATTCTAGTTCAAAATGGCGGATTAATATTTTCGTAACTGTTAAATTTTTTTCGTTTTCCATATTTTCAGCAATAATATTTTTTTCTAATATTTTATATTTGATTGATTAGATATTTTAATGCTAAAACATTATTCCCCTTAAAAATAGTGTTTATTTATTTTTTGCTTCTTAGATTCAGATCGTTTATTAAATCATTTTAAGCTTTGTTTACCTTGGGGGTGTATTATACGGAAAAATTTATTATACGGACTTCTGGAAGTCCCACCGATTCCGGATACGCGACTTTACACTGTATTTACAAACAATTATAATGAAATCGATAATCGACATCTGTTATTTTGCTATGAAAATGGCACCCATTTTCTCATTTTTAATGGTTATTTTCTTTTGTATTAAAATATGTGTGATAAGACAAGTTTTCAATTAACGATGAACAACGTCATTTACAAATGAGGTGACAGATTCCAATTTGTAACAATAGAATAATTAATTTAGTGCAGTATATTTTTCTCCCTCTCCCCTTTTGTGTAAATATATTGTTTTTAAATTGTCCCTAAACAAAAATTACACCATTTTACTCTAAACGTCTAATTTTTATACTAACTCTAATTTAAAATAGTTTTTAATGAATTTATCAATGCCAATATTATTGTCTGTAACTGAGAAATTGTTTTTAATTTTTTGATCAATATGTAATTAATTAATTTTTAACTATGGAAGGCTAGAAGCCTGTATTGTTTGGCTAAAAATTTCTACCACATTCTAGCCCCTATAAATACAATTACATGTATAGATATATATATCACAATTTTGCACAGATATAGCATAAATTAGAAAGGAATGAACGAAGAAAATCAGGTTGGTGCTAGTGATGATGTCGGTACGCTTTTACCGTTTTTTCTACAAAATCTGTTTCTTCCACTCGTTATGGTTTCTGTCAGCAATAGTTGATAGGCTCTTTCTCTTTCCTCCTTTTTTTAGCTGGATGTTAAAAGCATGTGAATGTTTGATGAATAAAAGGTGCCACTGAACATTTTTACAGTTAAAATGTTCAGGAAGAATTTCAAACTTTCAACTGAAGGTCAGTTAAAAGGGGAAATTGGAATATGTGAGAATTTTACACCTAGATAAAAAAAGAAAAGGCTGCTCTGGACAAAGTCTGCAAAAAAAAAAGAACTGTTTTCTGAAGTCTGATTTGAGAAGTGAAGTAGAAGGAAATGTTTCAGGAGACTGAGTCACTGTCAACTATACTTTGTTTCACCAAGACTTTGTCAGTTATACTTCGTAGTTAGACAAAATTAAAATCGTCTTCATCATGCACAATAGTGTAATGCTAGAGTAGGCAAGGATCCTTGCCTGTTAAAGCACCATATTGTCAATTAGCAAGCATCTTCTTACATCAGCCGCTTAAGCCAAAGTTTCAATGAATCACGAGAAATGAAAACTGCTCTATCGGTGTAAGGATGTATACAATAAATCAATATCTCACAATATATTGCCCAGTCCTAGTGTCATTTTTAAACTGAATCTGGAATGGTTATTAATAGCAATCATCAGAATAGTCATAAAATACCTTTTCATTAAGAACTCTCTTACTCTATCTTTTTTAAAGCAAATACCCAAATTGTAACAAATTAAGGTGCATTAAGGTGTTTTAAATGAATTTTTATCTTATTTTATTGATTTAAGTGTTAATTTATATGATTATTCGGTTATGTAAAAAGTCATTGAAGTTTTTTTACACTTTTCAAAATCATGATTATATAAAAATTAAAGGTTAATCAATAATGCTTGATACCTTTTATTTGATGACCTTTTGCCATCGAACAGTAAGCAGTTGCCCCACTCATGGAAAAATCTGTCTGTTTGTGCAAAACTGATAAAGGTGCAGATTTACAGGTACTGATCTGAAATTTGTTATTCCACACAAGTTTTGAAGAATGTGAAACAAGTGGAAGTCTGATGGCAAAAGACTATGCCTTTTTTGTTGGGTGACGTAACATGTCCCACCTAAGCTCTAATAATTTTTGACAGGTCGGCAAAAGGGGGAGTGGTCTCTGGTTGTCATGATCGAACATTACTCCTTCATGATTGATGAGCTTCTGATGTTTCCAGATGGCAGCTTTGTTCAAATTGTCTACAGTACAGATCCAAATTGATTGTTCTGTCTCCTCATGTGAGCACACAAAAAAACTCACTCTTTCGTTCCCACCAGACTGAGAACATAACTTTCCTCTGATAAATTTCTACTTTTGAAGTTATTGGTAATGAATTACCAAAACTGTTAGCACACTATATAGTTGTAAGCAATCCACTTCTTATCAGCAGATGTCGTTTGAAAAAAAATTATTATCCTTCCCCCATTTGCATATCGCAGATGTTGTCAAATGAACTTCTTCACAAGGAACTTAAATTTAATGCTTGCTTATGTATCCCAGTTACTTTAGGTTAACGTGAACACTTTTTTGATTGATCTTCAATGTATTTGCAAATTCTTGTATCATGCAACATGGGTTTGACTGAATCAATGTCTTTATTTTGATTGGCCTTGATGTTCTTCACCACCACAAACTGTACACAATTCTCCAAAGCTTGACAAAGTAAAACAATAAAATAAGGAGAAAATAAACAGTTTGGTCTACCATGTTCAATGCGCTGTCAATTCTCCAAAACTCAACAAAATCATTCAGCTTGTTATTTACAATGGAGCTTAAATTGTCAGCTATCAATGACATAACAATTACTATTGCAATTGCTTTGAGTATTTTAGAAACTGCATTACTGCCAAAAAAAATAAATAAATGATGTTTTATTCAACCTAGTATATAATCAATAATTGGATCACTTGTTTCAGAAGGGGCACAATTGATACATGGTTATAATCTCCTTTTTTTTTCATCAAGTCAGTTAAAAATGATAAAAATTGGTAAAAAAAAAATCTCATCAAATATTACTTAGTATGTTAACATCAAAATATTCTATTCAATTTACATAACTAAAGTAACTTAAGTTCTAAAATATGACATAGGAAAAAATAACTATCTTTTACAGATGCATTTGGACAGCATATACAATATCAAGATTTAGGAAAGACAAAATATCTGTCAGCTTCATATTTTTATTACTTTTCTTTCCATTGCTTTAAAATAAAATTGTAGATTTTTCCTAATTTGTTAATAATCAGTATGCAGGATAATGCTTGCATAAAATATTTTCAATTATTTTACTACTTGAACAAAGAAATGCTTAAGAAAATGAAATATAATGCATACTGTCAATTTCTTCATCTGCACCATATGTAGCAGGCCAGTGTTCTAACAGGGCTTGAAGCAGCAAACCACCTAAATTCACTGAAATAAAATTGAAACAAAAAAATGCTGAAATATTGAAAAAAATATCATGCAATGAACATTAAACACAAAGGCACAAGAAACATTACGCTATTTTTAAGTACGACATTTCAAGATAATAACTTAATTATCAAATATTAGGTCTACCATAAAGTTCTGTCTGATTTTAAAATGTAACAAATTAATACATTTTTCATACCTTGAATAAACTTTATTGCATGATGTGATTGCCATCATTATTATGACTCCTTGCCAGCATGATGGCAATTTGTACATCCCATTTTTAAAGAGATCCTTATTCCTGGAGGCAAAAAATTGAATAAATGAAAGTCAGATCTCACTCATTTTTGAATTTTCTGTCCTGCAAAAATTTTTGTAAGGATAAAGACAAATGATAATCAGAGGGTTCTAGGTCCAGAGAGTATGATAGATGCGGCAGAATTTCTCAGTTTAGCATTGTAAGTTTCTGATGAGTTCCAAATGCAGCATGTGGTCTAGCATAGTCTTGAAGCAGTATGATTTCCTTTCTATTGAATAATGGCAGCCTCTTTTTGAGGATTTCTGCTTTCAAATTAGTCAATTGCTGACAGTACAACTCTGAATTTATATTTTCCTTCGGCTTTCAACAGCTTAAAATATATTAGTCCTCGAAAGTGTTCATATACACTACATTCTCTAACTCAGGCTCAACTTTGGTTTAGAGGTAGGTCTTCCGGGTTAACAATAAGCCATTCTTCTGATCGTGTTTTCTTAGGTAATCCACTATTCATCCCCAGTAATCAATCAGTCCAAGAACTTATGTGACACCCATCTAAAATATTTCCATACCAATCTCAGTTTCCAGATATGGTCAGGAAACTAGGAGAGACCAGACAGTATCTTCGCTGATCAGATGATCGCCCAGAGCACAGCTTATTCGAATGGCCAGTTTTGAAATTTTTCAACCCCCGATCTGCATTTCCCATCAGAAACTGTACCTTCACTAAACACTTTTAACAAATTTCTACACGCTTTTGTTGCATTCCTCCCTTGTTGGAATTCATTCAAAATACAGTGGTGCAAATGAACTTCGCCAGTAGCTATGAAAAAATGATTGCATCTCACTTAAAACTAAAAGGAATCATCTTTAATTTAGTTCATTTGCTTGGTCAGTGTATATACATTCAATGATAAAAAAAGGAGCCAAATATGCGGCAAATGATTTGCACATACCAGTTGAAAATTATCGTAACAAGAACAGACAGAACTTTTTAATAGACTTAATAACCTCATATAACGAACACTCATTCATAAAACTATCCATAGTAGTAAACAAAAAACTCAAAAACAGGTAGCATGATTGACACCAGAAAGTTCGAAACAAATGGTAAAATATTTAATATTGTTTTTAATTCAGAGATTATTTCATTTATTACTACTATACATTTACATCAAAATGTTAAGAAAAATTAGTATATTTATTGTGTACAAGAGCAATTAATCCATTTTCATTGAAATCATTATACAAATTTTTGTTTCTTAAAATTTTTTGACAATACCAAAATCTCTGTTTCCATTAAGAAAAAAAATATTTTGCAATTTTATTAAAACAAATTCCCTCTTCAAAATATTGTTTCTTCAAATTTTTTACTTTTGTTTTTTTCATTAATGGTTAGTAAAATCAAACAGCTTTTGAAACATATTATTAAACAAGATAAAATTAGGGCCCAGTTAGCCTGGTTGGTAGGACGTCGGGCCTATGTTCGTGAGAACAGAGATTTAAATCTCATCGGTCGAAGAATCCCTGTGTACTATATGGTGACTGGTGCACATTAAATCTATTGGGGTCACAAAGCCCTCAAAGTTCCCATAACAAATCAATTCCTCTGTGGGTTCTGAATTAAGAGATTGATCATTCTCTGGTTCAGGTCGAAATTACGATTTGTGAATGATTGAATAGCGTATAATTGGGTCCTCAATGTAAAAGAGGATGTGATGTGTGTGTGGCTGAAGTCTTATTCTTGGCCATAGATGACACCAGTGAAAAAAAAAACAAGAAACATACCCTCTGCTTTAAAAGTTCAGTTGATTTCAAGCAGGCTTGTTGGTATTGGCAAGTGGCATAAGTAACAAAATAACATATGAAAATTACAGCGTATTAAGAATACGATGTAATACATTAAACACTTAGCTCCAAAAATTGCTATAAATGGCAAGTGGAAATTTTATAACAAAAAAAAAATTCACGTTTGTAATTTTTTTTATATAATATTCCTCGAATAAATATTTTCAAATCACTATTTCTAACAATCAATTATTTAAAAGCTTGAGTTAACAATTTCCTTTGATGCAATGTTAGACAATCTAGCCGAAAAAAAAACTGCAATAGTAAGATGACACAAACATGTAGTGTATAGTGTAAAAAATAAAAAAGATATCATTCTGAATAACCTTCATTCTAATGATTGGATTTTCACATACTACGGCTTAATCTCAATGGTTCCTGGGGGTGACTTCAAATGTGCTAATTAATTAGTGCTAACTAATAAATAAATATAGAAATCAGACACAATAACACACTTTCTCTGAATAAACCTAATTTAATTCTATATTTGGTTTCCAACAGATAAATTTTTTATACCATATTAATCTATGTATTTTCTATAGTGAAATCCAAAGTTTCAATTGTTTTTATCAGCTGAGAAAAATTAAAATGAATTATTAAAATAAAAAAAACTTGGCAACGATGAAAAAAATACTTAAATGGAGCAATTCATGACTAAATTTGGTAAACTTACAATGAAATTGACTTACACAAGCCTATGATAAATTTCATTCCTGATTTTTGGCTGTTTTGATTCAATATTGTTTTCTTTTTTTTATTACAAAATACCATGTTTCTTCTTAACTTGTATGCAAATTTATAACTAATTTAGTAAAGGGATTTGAATAAAATATTAAATTGAACAAATGTAAAGTTTTATAAAAACTTGTTTTTGATTGAATGAGGTATGCAACTGCTATTTTAATTTTAGTTTTTAATTTATACATTGCACAACTGATTCAATAGAGTAATGTGCATAAGTTAGCATTTATTACAAAAAATATATTTATCAATTATGAAATATGTATTTTAATAACTAAATAATAAATATATAAATGAAGATATTAGTTTTGCAAAAGGTATCTTGACATCCTCTTGAACCAAACTCTTGTGACATCAACGATTATTTGAAATATTGTTGATGTTTTAAAAGTCACTACAAAGAAAATAAAGATGCTGAATATAAAGTGCTGTCGAATATGTTGACAAAATTTTTAAGCATCTTTAAATTTCAGAGTATTTAATATATTGTCCTTAATTTGAAAATTAAATCATTATAATATTACCGTATTTTTTGGCGGAAGAGACCGGCGATATCGAAAAAAAAAGTTTTTTTCTTCCTACATGCGGCGCTTCCGGCGAAATATTTTTTTGTAGCAAAAAAATTTGTCAAGGAAAGTTATTTAAGATGAAATAATTTCTGAGAGAAAGACTATTAAAAAAAAATTAATAATGAAGTCGACGAAATATTCGCCCATATCACGATCTGCTGCAGAACATCGCCAATTCTTAGTAAACATTCGGCAGCAGTCTGTAAGAAAATAAATAAACGAAATAATAATTTTAAAAAAACATCGCATATGGAAAAAATTTTAAAGGTATGCATCTTGTATCCACCCCCAGCTTAAGGAAAAATCGCAAGCTAGAAATCTATTTAGCGCCATGGCAATTGTAATTTGAGCAAACAGAAAAGAAAGAATAGGACCCTATAAATCCGACACTCACGGGACTGACGAAACGCCGAACTTCGGATCTCTTTCGGAAATTCCAATATGGGCCCCAAATATTACTATAATTCAATTCCACTGTTAATTTCAGAAAAACCAATAAATTTAGTCAAGTTTCGATTGTAGATTATGATGGGGTGAATTTAAAACTGGCCCATCTTAGGAGAAATTTTACTAATCAAAATAATAATCTATATAATATAATCAAGAAGAAATAATCAGAATCCTATGAAGAAGAAATAATCGTTTCTTCTTTGGAGCGAGATCATAGTTCTCGTTTTTTCTTTTAGATAACATTTTGTTTCAACAAAAGACGCTTACCTCGCAAGGAAAAAAAAAAGCTAGCAGGGAACTACAAATTTTTTTTTTTTAAAAATTAATGCTTAGAAACTAACAATGAATAACAAAAAACTAATAACGATAAAAAAAAATTAACAAGCAAGCAACAATTAAACAATTAACAAGAAAAAATAAAAAACGACAAAATAAAAATAATTAATGAATCGAATAAAAAACAAAAGGGATAGAATTCATTTTGTTGTCCACCTGGTAGTTTCAATGTCAACTGGGTGAAGTCAATTTATGGCCAAACAGAGGAGGGAAATTTGGGGGCAAATCAGTAAAGCACAAGCACAGCTGTCAAGATTGATTGATCAGTTTTTTCCAACTTCCATTTCTTTATTTTGTTCATTGGAAATGCAGGTGTTTTTACTTCTCACTTTATTTTAAACTGCTTTAGAAACAGATGTTTCCTTTGATACAGATTTATTATTATTTTTTTCAAGCTACTTTTTTATCTTTAAAAGATAAAATAAAGTAAGTTACTTCAACAGAATAAAATTCCAAATAAAAAGAATATAGCTGATTTTTTTTGTCTTATCAATATAAATTTCTCAAAAAAAAAAAGAAAAAGATTAGATCAGATTAAGTGCTGAATTTTGGAATGCTGGATTAGGGGTCCCTTACCCTTTTCTTTTCCCCAACCCCTTTAAAATATAACTGATTGATTCCTCCTAAACAGCTCCAATAGAAATGACACGTGGAGGAGGTGGGGTACACCTCTCTTTTAAACATTTTCTTCTCTCTTTCTAAGTTGAGTCACATTGGGTTATTTCCATTGAAGGAGAGGGCATCATTCTACCCACTAAAATTCCACCCTCAAAGATTGTGAAAGTGAAACTTATTTCCCCTTCGCTCATTCCTTCAGAATTTTTTTGGGGCCTGCTTAGTTATTTCTTATTCTTGTTATTATTAGTTATTTCGTTATTATTAGCTGTTTCGTTATTATGTATTAGTTTTTCCTCAAATTGTTAACGGTAATAAATTTTAAAATCTTTCTTTTAATAAATTTTTATTTTATTTTTCTTATTTCATTTTTTTACGGATTTCTGTAATCAGTTTAGCCTTAATTCAGCTACTGAACATATAAATATTTTTTTGCTGTTCTTCTGTTTTTTGGCGCGGTGCCAACTGGTAAGAACACCTTTATTTTATATAGTTTTGTTGTTTTCATTTTTTTGCTGAAAGAGAAAACTTTTTTTGTTGCTTTTTTCTTTGCTGAAAAAGAAATTCTTTATTATAATTTAGAAATTAAAACTTTACTTTATGAAATGCATAAAAAAATGTAATTTTTTATTATACAGACATTCTAAATGGTAATTTAAAGGTCTCTTCTAAAAGGATGCTGATATGCGCGGTACCGCCATTGCGACGCTTATTATAAATTTTTTTAAAAAAATTTCATTTTTATCGAGGTGCGCAGTTGTGATGAAGCGGCGCTATCGCCGAAAAATACGGTAATTTGAAAATTTAATTTTTAATTACCTGGCAATGTGTGATACAAAGAACTATTTAACCAATTATTTCATTATATTTTTACATTTTTCAAATTTGCTATTTTATGTTTTCCACATGGATTTTTCTGATAATATACTAAGCTGTTTCGTTTAATTTTTTTTAGTACTTGAATTTTCTTTTTTTTTAAATTACACTCGTTTTAAGGAATTGTCAAGCAGTTAATTGATAATACTTTAGGAACATTTTGTTACAACAAAATTAATTTTTTTTCAAAATTTCTGACTGATAGTATTAAATAAGTGCACCTTTTTTCTCCTAGAATGAACAAACAAATTATTTATTTATTTACTTTATAGTTTCCAATTTGTTTAATTTTTGAAAAGTAAAAATAGATTAGTGCACTCAAAAAACCACAATTATTTGCTTTGTTTTTCAAATGAACAAATTTGAACTGGAAATTTATTTTGACACTTAAACTAATATTTTAGCTCTGTGGCAGAAATTTTTTGGACTTACTGCGACAAACCACTCTAGCACTAATATCTTTCTGCAAGATACTTTTAGAAATAACAGCTATGCATATTACTAATTTTAAGTAACAGAAACGTGTTTATAAAAAAGACTATTCAAATAAAAAACTGCATATAATTTTTTAAATTGAATGCATATTAATTTTTTTAATTCTAATATTATGAACGATATTCTCGCATTTTGTAGGATGAAAAAGCATTTATTATTTCTTTTTTCACTTTGTGTAAATCATGATCACTTTAAAAAAAAAAAAAAATTACAAATAATGAAATCCGTAGCAGTAACTATTCCAAAAAACTGCAAGAATCAGACTCTTTAAAAAGGGGTTGCTAAACTCACGCTCATTTTGAGATTCGGTTGCTATAATAAATAATATTGAATTAAAAATATCAGACTTTAAAACTATGCGGAAATCAAAAGCAATAACTGCAAAAAAAAGAGAGAGAAAAAGACTGAGTCCTTACGTTATAAATTAAATATTCAAATGCATAATTCAAATTTTCCATATTGTCAGAAATATATTAGGATATTTAAAAACCATGCGAAAATCAATATCAATAACTGCTGAAAATGCACTCCAAACACTCATAGATTTAGGATACTATCAACATAAACTGAGAGTGCCAAAAAGTAATTAATTAAATTGCACTACAAATGTACTGCATTGATTAATTAATTATTTTACTTAAATCTGAATTTATAACAAAATACTCACTCAGAGTAAAATTTGGTGTTTTTTTAAAAATAAAAAATGAAAGAAAGAACATGATTCCTAAAGATAGTTATTTTTTAAACTTTCGCAATTTCAGATTTTCCTTATTTTCATATTATAATTTTGAAATTTTAGCTGAAGTTGGTCATTATCGAATTTCTTTTAATTTTCAAATGACAACAGAGAAAACTTGAGCATTTCTATCCCCTCTAATTTGCGAGAAAGTCATCTTTGAATATAATTCTGGAGAAAAAAAAGTCTTTCGAAAATTTCTGCAGTGAAGAAAGATTAGAAAGGCAGTTAAGATAAAATTTTGGTTTTCTTTAAACCAAAATTTCTTAATTCACTATTCTTAATCTTTCATTATTTTCAAATAAGAATAGAAAAATTACGAGCATCTCTTTCCTCTCCAATGAGCAGAAAGACATCTTTTGAATATAATTCTGGAGGAAAAAATGTTTTTTTGAAAAATTTTGCAGTAAAGAAAATCAAAATTTTTTACTACCCAAAGAAAAAATCTCTCTGCAGGGCCTCTGCAATAATGTCGCCAAGATTCTGCCACTGGGTATATTACGCCGTTAAAATTCAAGAAAACAAAAAGCTAAAAAAATTTTTTTTTTATTAAAATTATTTTACAAGATATTATTACAGTATTATTTGTTATCTGGAAAATACTGTTAAACAGCAAATACTAAAAATGGAAAATTGTAATAAGATTTCAAAGCCGGGCTACGTTTAAAATTATTAATTGATTTGCTTTATGTAATAAGAAATACACCATTTTCGAAGCTATTACAATAAAAAAAAGACATGCAGATAATGAGAGGGTTAATATACTTTTACAGAAATTATAAATACAAATTTTTCTTGCTTTTTGTCATAAGAGAATAAGAATGAGGTAGCTCCAAGGAACATTCTCAATAATTTTGTTATTTATAGAATTGAAATCTGTTTGAATAAAACATAGTATTGCCTAAAAGCTAAAACAATGTAGCTATTATTTATTTATGCACATTCTATTAATTTGTAAATAGCGGTATCAAAGATAAGGATAAGCGTTGGAACTCCCATTTACTATCAATGCATTCAATCATACAGCTGAACAATTTAATGTTACAAAAAGCAAATTATTTAATAATTTTAAGCAAGAAAGAGTGCTAGCATTAAGCAATAAAAAAATTTTACTGCACTGATTTTTTTAGAAAGTTGTAACTAATTAATATTTTTTTTGAATCAGAGAGCCTATGATATTATCTTATGCAAAATTTATTTTGATATCACGTGAAGTAATTTACTAAACTGTGTTACTAAAAAAAACAAAAAACTTCACTGACTTTAAATAGACTTGACAATATAAATAGACTTGTTTTGAGTGCTCAAAACTAACTCCACAAGTCATTGACTACTGTTGAGTCTTGAAAATGTGAGCTTATTTTTGAGCTTGTGAAACATGTTGACATTTATTCTCATTTTCATATTTTTTTAAAGCCAATGAAGTTTTTTTCATCCTCAATTATATGTTACAATTGGGTCTCAATCATTTTTTTTATAAACATTTTATGCTCGTAAAATTAAACATCTGTATCATTAGAACGAAAATTATTCAGAGTGATATCTTTTTTATTTTGCGCACTTTACCTATCAATAGGTTTAATTGTAGAACAAAACTGAATTTACCTTTAGGATCATTGTTATCATTTAAATTCAATCCAAATTCTTTGGAAGATACCCAAGCAGCAAAACTATCATGTTCATCGAGGTGAATACAGAGTAACTGAAATTATTAAAATAGATAAAAAATATTAAAATTTTTTTTACATGTAAATGCAAATAAATAAATTTTCGACTTAAGATGAACATAAAAGTCATATTAGAGTGCTGATCATTTTGCAACTATTTACTTACATTATTATCAAATGTGAGTACAGGGTTAAGCTTAGATTTAAAATTAAAATTTTATAATTAACAAAGCTTCATGAATTTCAAATTACAGATATGCCATAAACTATTATAAATATAAAGCTTTTCATTGTTAAAGAGTATTGAATGATACGTTTTTATTAAATATTAAAAAAGACCAGAAACCACTAACACAGATGTATTGTCAAGTCACTTGATGTATTTTCAGTTTATAATAATACTTTAAGTTACAAAGTTTCAATGTTTGTGACTGTTTATTGAATCAAACAAATTTACTTTAACTTGCAAAAGTGTTCTTTCTAAAATCAGTATAAACAAAAGCATACTTTTTTTTGGGTAAAATTTTTTATAATATTGAGTCAGATTATTGATGCTGTTTATTAATATTGTGACACAACACATAAAAAATCGATTGAATCTTATTGTCAAGAGAACTTTTCAAAGTTAATTAAAAAGATGGGTTTATTAATAAAATATGAATGCACATCTCAAAAAAATGTATAAATATACAGAAATGGGAAAAAATGCTTAGTCATAAAAAAGTTTGAGAGAAAAAAAAATCAGTATGTAGATCCTGACAAAAAATCTAAAGATAGTCACAGCATATGAACAGTAGTTGAAGATTTATTAGAGTAGTTATACTCTAACACTCTAAGTACATTTGCCCAGATTGCTTATTGGAAGAGCTTTCCAGTCTTATGAGTCACCTTAAAAGTTATTACATTATGAGAGTGAACATTCAGGAAACTTACAACAACTAAGCTTAAAAAATTTAATATCTTTAGAAATTATATATATATATATATATAAATATAAGAATATATACAATTG